GAAATCGGGTTCACCATCTCACGGTATTATGCTTTCACTGCCATACAGCAGGCTGGAGAAGTGCTCCCCCCATAATTTTAGTATGCTCTGAGCATCAGATCACCTCGGGGGATTCTAAAACAGTTCTTGAAAGCTTCTGTTAGTCCCCGCATCTTTTTGTAGATTTCCCAAAATCAATGGTTTCGTTTACAACTATACGTAAGGAGTTTGAAATGTCGTCCACAGTTCCCTTACGCCGAGTTGCTGACAAATGCTCTCAGAGAGCAGGAGTGCAAGTYGAGTAGAAAATCGTTCGATTGTCTGCTACGATTGTAGCTTCTCGACGTAAAATCTTCCTTGTGTTTGTTGATGTGCGCTTTTTGCTGCACAGAGGCAGTTGTGTACTACAAGATAGTAGTCCAAGTCGAGATAGGGACGTCGGAGCGTAAGCAAGTCTAAAACACTGGAGATGTGTCTTCCATCTATTACAACATGATCGATCTGGTTGGTGGCTTTTAGATCCGGAGACAGTTAAGTACGTAGCTTGATAAAGTTTCTTATTCTGGAATCTAGTACTACAAATAACCATATTTCGGGTCCCGGCGAAATCAATCAGCTTCAACCCATTTGTGGATGTTTCATCATGGAGGCTGAATTTGCCGACCGTAGTGTTAAAGATTCCTTCTTTATTCACCCTGGCGTTAAAGTCGCCAAGCATGATTTTAACATCGCGGTGCGGACAGCTCTCATAAGTTCACTCCAAGCGCTCATAGAATGCATCTGTGGTCACATCGTCCTTCTCTTCCGTTGGGGTGTGGGCGCAAATCAGCGATATGTTGAAGAACTTCGCTTTGATGCGGATTGTAGCTAGATGTTCATCCACCGGAGTGAATGCCAGGACTCGGCTACGGAGTCTCTCTCCCACCACGAATCCCACACCAAGCTTGCGCTACTTTATATGGCCACTGTAGTAAATTCCATAAGGACCTACTCGTCTCCGTTTGCTTGTCCCGTCCGTCGCACTTCTTGATCTGTGATGACCTTATTTTTACTAATACATAAACTAACCCTTAATACGTCGGCGGGTTCCAAATCCTGCACACATCTCTGGGGAGGGATTGCATTTTAGTGTCTTGCTGCAAATAATACTAAGTGTGGTAATGCATAACAAAGCTTTGAATTGCCTTCGCATCCTCCGTATTCTCCAAATCTGGTCTCAGCGATTATTTCCTGTTTTGAGTTCTCAAAAAAATGCTCGTTGGAAAAATGTTTCGTCGAATAGAGAGGCAATCGCCGACACTGAGGCGTATTTTGAAGCAAAGGACAAAGCGTACTACGAAAATGGTATTGAAAACGTGGAAGGGTCGCTATAAGCAGTGTATCAAGCTTGGGGGAACTATGATGAATAAAAAAAAAATGATTTTTTTCAAAAAAATGTCTCCTATTTTAGTAGGCCGGTGACTTTTCAATTGACTTGTGACTCTTTATTCGGGGAAACAAATAGAACCGCAAACTGCTTTCTARCTTTTAATTTGAGTATCTTGTGGTAGTAGCTGGCTACCTTTATTAAATAGCCAAAGCATTCAAAAAACATTAAATTCGTAAATAAATAGAGGCAAAGTTATCTGTATTGTAAAATAATATAAATATTATATTTAATAATAGTATTTGTGTGCAATTAACTTTTTGCTTGGTTACAACTAAACAAAAATATTAAATTGTCATTTCAAGACAATTTGTGGAAGCCATTAAAGACAAAAATATACATACAAATATATACAGTGGCTAACAAAACTTTCTCTTGTGAAACTGCAAATTTAGATTAAAACTTTCTTTTAGCAAATGTCAGAAGTAATTCAAAACTTTGCCGCAAAAATGTAATTTTTCGGTTTCTAATATCAAATTATTTAAGCAARAGATAGAAAAAAAAACAAATACATRCATGAATGTGACATATTCAAATTATGACTGTCACTTGCTTGTCAACGGGAAGAATTTTGCTAATTATATATGTGTGTATGTGCGTGTATATGTGTAGATTTTAGCAAGTCTGCAAGAGCAGAGTAAACCGGAATTAATTTAATTTTCGCAGCAGCATGCTCAAATACATACACACTATGTAGACATATGTAGATATGTAGATGTGGTTGCGGATTGTAATGATTAAGCACACACACAGACACATTTGCGTATGCATGTATGTACATAATGCATTTTAAATTGTCAAATTGAATTTCCGAGCGAAACAAATTAAAAGACAATTTTCTGAATTAACAAACAACCCCCGAAGTGATAGTCCRTGCACACAGAGACACGGTAGCATGCGATCGAAATGAACGACAAATGAAGTCAACAAAAGAGGAAATGTTATAATTAAAATATTGGAAATATGGCAACAATGCTCGCAGCGATATTTAAAGCTTTTGAATGGCCAAACCAAAGCAACTTACATTTTAATGGGTTGCGGAAAGCTTTTAGGATTTCAGATGCTGAAATTACGATTCGTTTTAGTGCCACAAACAAAACCAAGCTACATAAGGACATAACAAAGGCATGTCAACAATAACACAACAGCAACAGCAGCAAGACTAMAGCGAAAGCGAATGTATACTTTTTTAGTTTGTGTGAGTGCGTTAATTTAGTGGTGAGTAGCGGTTGCAGCGTGGGAMGTAATGATACGATATGTAYAAGTGTCTACGACTGCTCTTGAATGCTAGCAAACAATTGCCAAGTAAAGCCACATGTAATCACATACAAACATACATGCATAGGCACTAGCTGCGTGTGTCCGACAACAAAATCTTATGACAAAGCAGCAGCTCAGTTATCTCTTACCCAACGCGTTGGTAAGACGCTTTGTCTATGCTGCTTTTTACAGCGCTTAAATAGTTGTAGCATCCTTTATGGTTACCGTCGTCAAAACCGTTGCCACTGACAAATGCAGAAATGCCGACAAAAAAGGGAAAGGAATTTGTGTATTTAAGTTTCCAGACAGCACTTGCTCAGGTGCACAATTAATGTAACTCTCTGGTCTGGAAAGTGAAGTTTTGTTATGTTATATGAAAATCGGGAAAAACATTAACTTCGGCTACACTGAAGCTGCAATATCGTAAATATTTTTTCATAAAAAGGGTATGAAAATATCTTTTACTTGATTTTGATCGATCAATTTGAATCTATTCGGAGTTTAYAACATTCTTTTGGAGTTTAATTTATGCCAAATATCGAAATTTCCTGGAGATATCTCTTAAAAAAGTTTTCTACACAAGAACTGGATTTTGGTCGAATAGTGGGTTTGGCAGCTATATTTTACARAGATCTGATCTGAAAAATTTGTGCGAAGATTGTAGCGCTGCCTCTGGCCACAATCCATGCTAAATTTCGTGAAGATAACTTGTGAAATAAAAAATGGTACGATTAGTTCATATGAAGGCAGTATCTATATAGGAGGCTGCAGCAGAGGAATGGTTGTTGACAACAGCTGATGTGGCGACGTTACGAGTTTTCGAGCGAAAGGTTCTGTGGAAGAGTTATGGTTCTTTGCGCATTGGCAGCGGCGAGCATTGTGTTCGGTGGAACTATGAGTTCTACGAGATATATAACGACATTGGCACAGTTCAGCAAATTAAGAGGCAGCGGCTCCGCTGTCTAAGTCATATAGTTCGAAGGGAGGAAAACACTCCAGCGCTGAAAGTATTCGACGCAGTACGCGCCGGGGGAAGCCGAGGAAGACCTACAATCTGTTGGAAAGRCCRGGTKGAACTTGGCTRTAGTTGGAATCTYCAATTGGTGTYAAAYTGMGAAAATACTGGGGCTCTATTGCCAACTCGGCTATRACCGCGTAAGTGGTGTATACGCTAATAAAGTAGAAAAAACCTTTAGAACTGTACTCTGCACGAAACTGTACTTTATATACTCGCAGCTTATTTCTCGAACTAAGATGTATTGGTAAGATATTGGTTCGCTATAGGTCCTTTGTTGTGCTTATGCAGGACTGGCAGCGAAAAAAAAAAAAACGAGTAAGCAGTAAAGCGTGGAAAATATTGAAGCAACTGGAGAGCTAAACCTGGAACAACTAGTAGCGTAAAGAGCTTAGAATYGATCGGCGTAACTAACTAAAACAGTGAAATTAAAATTAAACCCCTTGGCTTGACCAAAAGTGTGCCACAAGSTTAAGTCCACTGGTAGCATTATTGGTCACTTATACGAAACAAAATGGCTGCCGCAACAACACACTGCACTCTTGAGACTAAATGAACCATCTGACACTTTTGAAAGAGTTGTTTAACGTTTAGTTGTGTTTCGAGCAAGAAGAYGACGTTGATGTGGCAACATAGTGAAAGACAACAAGTCAGCGTACGACTTGGCGTTGATTGCGCTGCCCACAGCGAAGAGCCAAAAGGAATGTGAAATCACGAACCACTCCGCTGCACTGAAACGATTGAAATGTCACATTGTGGCCTACTTCAGTTCGATTGCCCATCCAATGCTACAAGTCGACACGTCTACTCTGAATACAAGTGAGGCTGAGGCTTACAGCGAGCAAAGTCGAGAGTTCATCAGTCGCTGGGTAAAACAAATGTGTGTTTGCTCAAGGACAACGCACCAACACATTGTTTGTATGTTTACTGTGGGTTCAAGTGATAGACAACAGGTCAGCCAGACGAACGAACAGACACACAGACATTGCGGCACCAGCGTAAAATGCTGTAAACCGTGCGTGCAGCGTGCCATGTTTGTTGAAATGTCGTTGTGTCTTATAAGCTGTGCGCTTCGACAAACACAGTGGGCGTAACACACACAGTTGCGTACACGAATCCTCAATTGACCGCTCTTTCAACAAGGTTTTCGGTCATCGCACATATTTRCTTAGTAAGCTTAGTACGCGCCATGGCCAAGCCTATATATATACCTATATATGTGTGTAGTATATTCCGCTAAATATTTGCCTATTTGCCTTTTGTGTGTTGAACGGTTCAAAAAAAAAAATATATATATAAAGTAAATGAATGACAACTTACCGCCCAAGACGCCGCTTATGTAGCTGCCTGTCAGATTGCCRCCACGTCCAGCCTTACGCAGCAGCGCATCGTCGATGAGTAGCAGGCGCGTCGAAGCGAAGGGATCCGGTTTCACGGGCCCTTCATACAAGTTCATGTCATCATGATTTTTAAATAAATTGTGACGCGTAATGACATCCTCCATGCCGGCGCGATGCAGCTCGGGTATGAGGCGCAGCCAAATCGAGAGCTGGTGTGCGCGGAAATGGTTCTTGATGCGTGGCTTCATGCCTGAAACGAGCAAAAAGGGAGAAGGAGTTGTAGAAATAGGTTAAAGCTGCATGGGTATGACAACAGTTGAAAAAGATAAAGCACTTCATCTTCTTTTTGCTGTATAAAAGGAAAAAGGTTACTTCTTAACATACAAAGTCACCAGCAAAGAAATGCTTTCAAATACATACAGACATACAAAAATATTATATAAGTTATGAATTTATGACAATAAAACCACAAGTTTTTGCTTGCGGTTTTGACTTTCCAATCGGAGCGGATTATCCCTTTCTAGATAAATTGAGATAACATAGAGACGGCGTTTGTTGTTTTCTTTGTCTGCGCTGGTTTGGGTGTGTGGCGGCGGATGACAAAGAGAAATGAACTTGACATTGAGCAAGGCGACATACACTTTTCTCCCTTTGGTGTTATAACTTAATATTGGAAAGTGCATGAGTTTGTGTAAAATAATAATGGATTAGAAAGTGTGTGCGTAGATATGGAGTAGTATATAGTGTATTATCCGTGCWGGCGCTTAGTGCTTAGAATTGAAATAAACTTGGGGAACGTTGCGGGGGTGCGCAAAAGCGTAGACTAACCCTTACCGGAAAGAAATTATGCAATAAAATTTAAAAAGTGTGACAATATTTATTTTCAACGAGCTAGCGAAGGGACGTGCCGTTCATGTGAGAGGTCCATACTCCGCTGTTAACGATAACATCGAAAGAGATGCCTTAATAACATTTTACAGGCATCAGGGAGATAACAGATGATTTCAGCAGCACTTATGTATCGATTCAATATATTTCGATTCATGTTTCGATTATGAAGCAAGTAAAAGCTGTACTATTAGCAAAAAACTTGCATATACAAAAATGTTGTCGATAGAGGTGGTAAAATCACCGCATGACAACACAGCTGGGGACTCTTTATACATACGTCAAAGACATCATTAATCGTGACAGGACGTGGGTTTACCAATATGACGGTGAAATTATTCAATAATCTAGCGCAGGTCGCTACAAAAATGAGCCGATAACGGAAAAGGCAAAATTCGTTGAAGGCACTGAAGGCCATGCCGCCGTCCCGCCGAGGATTGTAACAAGTTTATGGAAAATTGGATGAAACAGTGACATGCTTGTACTTGTATTGGATCAAAAAGAGTAGTCATCATAAGCGATAATAAAGCATTGTATGGAATTACGTAAACATTTAGTTTTCCTTATCACTCCTTGTCACATATGATGAGATATTATATGCGAGTTTGAGCAAATAATGTGAGGCTTGAGTTTTGCGACTGCAAAATATTGATTTTTGCATTGTCCTATTTCATGCTGTAATAGCTCGAGAATATTGTTCTAAGTGCTCAAGTTGATTCGAGATAGTTTTATGGATACAGATGTGAATGGTTGATCTCTCGAGCGAGAAACGGCTGGAAATGATGTCGCATTGATATTTTCCAAAAAAATCTTTGTAAAATATCTAGCTCAGGAATAATAAAACAAAAAAAAAAAAAAAAATTAAAACCAAATTTAATTTTTTATATGAAAAAAAAAAGTTATGGGAAAAAGAACGTTTTTTGATCGAGGCAGCACGTGTAACCCCTTAAGCATTTTGTGTCAAACTGGGTAAATTTTCGAAGAATTGTAATCTTTCAAAATTGAAATCCTCAGCATCGAAATTTAATGGATTTTGGGTTTGCAAGATGGGTCATGTCTTTGCTAGCGTTAGCCTATAAATATCCCTGAAAGTCTTGGTTTTAGTATTTGCTACCGTAAGCCATATGAGTTTGCATGTCTTTAATCATCATTTTGAGATTGAAAATTATCGTGTGTGCATGTTGCTCATCGCAAAAAGTTTCGATCTTGATAAAAAGTATTACAATTTAGATAAGAACAAAATTGTTCATAMAACAACGGTCTGTAATAAAATAAATGAAATAAATGTGAAACACGCGAACTTTACGCACTTCACTCATCAGTGCACGTGTGTAGTTCCATCAGAGGTGCATTAGCATGTACAAAGCAAGTTTGTAAGTGCCATATGTTAACTGCTAATCTAAAGCCGGAAGCCAAGTATTATTTCACCTTCTCTGAATCGWGAATTCGAGATAATGCCATGACATGCGCTACATGATCAAACGAACACATTTGCACCTGTGCGATGAGCACTAGAAGGGGCTGCAGTTTACATAAGCATATGTGTGTTGGTAATACCTACATACTTGTATATCTCGTGCTGGAATATTCGAATTTATCAACATTTATGCGCATATCAATTTGAACAGCAACGCAAGCTCCACATCTTTTAATTTCTCACACTTTTTCTTGTTGCTACGCGGCTTCCGTACGCAACTTTCGCCAGCTTTAAAGCAATAACTTGCCGGTAGCGAGCATTTGCATATTTCCATGTGTGTATATGTGCCTAACTTGGAGTTTTATTTTCGTTAAAACTTTTGTTGCTTAATTTTAAAAGTTCGTTTTGAGGTTGGCGTGACACACCGTGAAATGCGAAGAGGCGGTAAGCATACATACAAGGCCTATAAGGAGAGATTATCGCGGGAATTTCAAGATGAGGCAGCACGGGTGCCATGAAATGTGTGTAGCTGACTACAGTACAGGGAGTTTGGCACGTCACTGCCACATCTGCTTTACGGCTTATCGTATCAAGCAGCAAATTTAATCCCAGGCGGCATATGCTTGGCGCAAATGTGTACAAATTTGAATATTTTCGTATTGCGAATGCATATGTAACTCATGTATTTGTGGCATTTAAGCATGACAGCGCTTATGCTACACGGCCTACCAGTCTCTAGCGGGGTTGCTGTTACGTTGTTTGCGGCACACCACTCGCTCCGCCGCAATCCAGCTTTACATGCAGCCCAACTCAAAGCCGCAGTTTTGATTTCTATACCCAAAGGGGTTAGCCGCATTTACTTGGTATGTACATATAGTATATGTAGCTGCATGTGTGTAGGGTTACCTATATTTTCCTTTGATACAGCATGTACTATACCTTGACTGTTGGCATGTACTAGTAACCTCAAAACACCTGGAGAGCTCAACTGATTACCTGTGAGTTTTGCAGCGAAAATCGATGTTTATTTCCACCACAATGACACAGTGGCTTGCTAGGTGACTGCGTCGGGATATTGATCGGAAAAGTATTTCTGTAGTAAAATTCTGCTCAAATCATTGTTTATACGATGAATTCTGCTGTSTAAGCCTACCAGTGGATGTGAAGCGGAAATTGCTAAATATTGTGGCAAATTTATAGACTTGCGTTTTTAGGGGGATCGATAGCTAACCGATAGCTAACCGATAACGCAGGTTGAACAAAATTTCAARTTCTTTGAGTATGAAACTCTTCAAATTGAAAACTCATGTCAAGCTTTGATTGTACTAGGGCCACTAAGCAATAATATGTGAATAAAGAAATTGAACATCAGGTTTTCTTATGACATCCAAATATTATATATATTTTGTTAAAAAATATAGRCCGCAGTGCGTATATTTAGAGAMATTATTGCTTAATATGGAACAGAATTTTTGGCTTCTGGAAGGTATTTTTCAAGACTCCAATAATAATTTGTTAGCAATCCTGTGCTCCATTTCCTTTGATGACATTTCTCTATTAAGGAAATAATCTAAGAAAACCTCTCGCATTGTTCGTCCACTGACAGCATTCAAATTTTACCGGAAGAAATTCAGCTAAGAATCCAGCATATGTAATTTTAAGAGCATATTGCACCCAATTTCCCCTCAAGAGGTGAATTTTTATACCTKCTTCTATAAAGTTAGTTTCTTCCTTCTTATTTGAGAAATTTAATGCTTGTTAGTTATTATATTTAGTTATMGATTTATCGCAATTTTAGTAGCTTTCAACATAACCGTTATAGGGGCAGTGTGCGTAATTATGCTACACGTTGCTAGGGCTTTTCAGCAGTTGTCAACCGTTACACAACRAATGGCAAGCATCAAAGCAGCCTACCAGCAAGCGTGCATGTCATGGCGTATACGTAATTAGGGAAATCTCCACGGTTGCTGCGTTTGAGACCGCACGTGCTWGCAGCCGTGTGAGTACTTCATCGAGCAGCATATAAGCGAGAAGTTGTTGTAGCAAATGCTGTCTGCGCTCGCCGTGCGTAAATCAATCGGCTCCGCATGTGTGTGTGTTGGCAAATCTCGCTGTGAAGATGAGATAAGGCGAAATTAATAATGCACCATTTACTATATATGTATTTCCGTATTGTTGCTGGCAGTTTTTCGCATCGTTTTGTCTATTTGCTCTCTCCACTTATTTAAAATTGGTTATTGTTGTTTTTGTAATGTGGTTTATTTGGATTTTTCGCACAAGTCGTGAATGTATGGGTATGCAAATAGTTATATGAYTTATTTATAGCTGCAGCTGTTATAATGTTGTTGTAGTTCAAACTTATGCAATACAAATTTTATGTTTTAAAATACATAAATTAGAAGAAGATAACCTTAAAAAAAGGCCAAGCAACCTTTATTTGAWACAATGTCCGCCTGTCACCGTTTCTAACACTCCAACGAAACATCACTGCGGCTTGAAATTCTCAAAAGAAAATGTTGCTGACTCAGGCATTTTCTGTGACGAGTTGCAGACACAGCCAGTCGATACGCTATCTATTGAAATCCATAAGATAGTCGATGAAAAGACTGACCTATTCTAACTTGAAGAAGAAACTTCGATATCGAAATAACTAATATGGAGGAAAGGAAGTCAAGTGAAGAGGCTAGAACTGGATGAAATAACTGGAAAAGTTCCTGCAAGAGTCACAAGTCAGTTGAAAAGTCCAGGGCCTACCATAGCAAATACCCTTATTTGAAAATTTTTTTTCTTRTTTTATTCAACATAATAACGTTTAAGGGCGATTAACTAGTTATATCGAACCTATAAGTTTCCGCTAACATTTTCCTAGTTCGATTAGTCCTTTGCTTCAAAATAGGCCTCAGCTTCCGCGATCATCTCTTAATTCTTTCTTCCCAACGAACGTTCTTTTGTGATCTGAGAATAGGAAATTAGCGGTCAGATCTGTAGAATATGGCACAGTGAATGCGGAAGCAATCGAAGTCCGCTTTTCACTGCGTTCACTGTTTTCGGTGGTCATTTCATCACGCCCGCAGTTCAGCATACTAATCCTTTGGTTTGGTTGATTTTTCTGGAGCAGTGTATGGAAAGTCATCACCGAGCAATATTCAAAAAGCAATATTGTATCAATAGGTGAAATTTTTTTTCAACCCTTTTTTCCACAACAACAAAAGTTGCTTCACTCAAAATGATATAGTTCACAAACTAGTGATCCGATAGCTGTCAAATTTATACATGCACTGTTTGAACAACAAGCAAGTTTAGAGAATGTTAAACTCATGTGTATTTAATTCTAATAGTTATATTTATCGGCCGGAGACTTTTTAATTGACCTCTTCTTATGTATATTCTTCTGTTGCTATGTGCTTTGAATTCCACTTGCCTGTTGTGGGAATAAAATTTATGTTCATTTCTTGAGAACTCATCAAACGTCGCTTGTGTGTCATGTCATCTAGTCAMGTGTCATCTTTTGCATATCAAAATATATTTTCGTTCCACACATCATTATATTTATGTCAATTATTGTGCAACATTTGGCTATTGCCACCCAAGCACAAATATTGGAGTGTCGCTCTTTTCGGAAGTTTTGACAAATGCTAGTACAACTTGGCCTGAAATGGCACACCTGCTGTTCTTTTCACGCGCTTAATCCTAACAACAGCCTTTTTAAATTCTTAGGAATTCGACTGTAGCTGCGTCTTATGGTGCGCGCCAGGTGGGTCTCACGCGAACAGCTTGTTACCGCTGTGGATCAATTAGGTCTAAGCAAGAAGCAAGTCAYGTTGAGGTGGGTATAGATATTGCCATTACGGCGGCATATTGACGATTGATCAAATTATAAGTAAGCATTGTCAAAATAAACAATTTTTGTTTTTGGTAACGCTCGCAATAAGGAACAGGCATACATACTTAAAAGAAGAATGCGTTTATCAATTTCGACAGCAAAATAAGCAACAAGAGAAACTTAGGCACAAAWACACCTATAAAGCAAATAAATAAACAAACAATGTGACACAGCAGTGAAGCAATTTGCAGCCGCTAATAACACTTACAAGTACGCCTCAGTGCAAAGAGACGTCCACCGTTTGGTGTAAGAGAAGTAGCTGAGGAAGTGGCGCTTAGTCCTCACACAAATGTAAATACATTTAATGGCGATTTGTTCCGATTGCGGCGCCCAAAGTTCGATGATTAACACAATTACCCAATAAATGACCGGAAATGATGTAGCTGCTGTGAGCAAAATTACTTTGCATTGAGTGAAACAATATTCTATAAAAAGTGCTAATGAAACTAAATGCGAAGGGCGCAGTTTAGACCTACATACATTGTGTTCTTACAAACTTACGCCGAGGTGAGAGAGAAGCTAATTAAAAAGTTTCTTTCAGTTAACAACTGCCATAAATATGACTTCATTAATAAAARGTAGTTAATTTAACACATACAGTGTTGGMAACTTACCGATTTCGAGATACTTTTGATGCAGCGGATCATAATTTTCCCAAATGGTGCTGCGGAAGCGATTCCGCTCCTTGGAGGCGGGTAGCACGGAGTCTTGGCGATGATGCTCATTGGGATTGCTGGAAGGAAAAAAGAGAGGATTTTATGAATAGTTAATTGAAATAAAATTACAGAATAATATATTGGGTCTATAACTATGCAGGCGGTTTTCCAAAAGAGTGCGTAACTTGTTTATTATATATTTTTGTTTCAGTATTCAGAACAGTCAGTGGAAATGCTGCTTATGCGGTTTTCTCAGTATATGTTACTGTAAACAAAAATAAATTTTTTCACTCAAATACATATGTACTTTGTGTTTATTTATTTCAGGAGGTTCTAATAAATGTTCCATGGGTTTCATTAACCTTTCATATAGAGTGAAGTCGTCGTATGTTCGAAAATTCTGTTATTTGTTATATGAGSGCTGGGTCAAGTTTTAGTGTGATTGCATCTATTTTAAGCACAAATATATACTGTTTTGAGTGAAATACTTTCTGTAATTTTCGTTGACATTACTCAAATATTGGCCGACAAATGCACTATRAAGTTACCAGGAAGTTCGAAAATCTTTRTATTAGTTATGTGGGAGCTAAGGGAGGTATTGACCCGTTTCAACTCACTTTTGATATACAGAGATACTATTATCAGGAAAGGATTCTGTCCGTATTTCAATTATATTATATATCTCRCACATTGACCGATATTTTCGGTCAAAAGGCAACCATAGTATGGAGCTTCACATATTCGATACCGAGGGGCTTGAGCAGTTTTGGTGAGATTTGGAGAATTTTTGGTTGTAAGAAAGAACACTCTAAAGAAATTATTGGCGCAAAATTGTATACCGTTATATTAATTACTTTTTGGTTTTTGTACTGTAAAGTGAAAGAATCAAATGGAATTTAAAATTGTGTTATACTGGAAGTGGTCGTGGTCTTATTTCGCCAATTTTTACACTGTAACATGGGAATACGAGAAGAATGCTATGTACTAAATTTAGTCGAATTCGGACGGTCGCGACCGTCGGTCGGTCGGGTCCCGAGATATGGCATTTCACCAAAAAGTGCGCGAAGCTACGCCCATCGTCCAATTTTACCGCCGATTCCCATAAAGCCCTCCCATAAAATCTCGAAAGAAAAATCTAATGTCTCTGGAGTATTGAGTTATTGATTTCTTCGGTTTTAGTAATTTTTAACAGAATCGTTATATGGGGAGCGAAAGGAGTTATCTCGCCATCTCATCCATTTTCACACTGGAGTTCTTAGAGTATTTGTGCTCAGCGAATTTGGTTGTTATAGCTTCAGGGGTTCAGAAGATATGTACTTTTTTGAGRACTCGACCACGCCTACTCTTTCAAAATTTTTCCCCACAGGTGACCGACGTGCAGGTGCAACGCGCGCTACAAGTTTCATCAAGATACCTCAATTTTTACTCAAGTTACAGCTTGTCCAGGCGGATGGACAGTACGGTGATATGTATATCTACGCCAGTAAAGAAGAAKATATGTATAACGATATATCTTTCTCGCTTAGTTTTAGTTGATACGTACAACCGTTAGGTGAACAAAACTATTGTAGTACTTTGTAACAACATGTTRCAAAAGTAKAAAAATCGTATGTGAAACCTGGCCCTACAGCCAAATCGACGTCACATCCGAATATCCATGATGTCAAGATAACGCTCTTTATTTGATGCGATMAGAACTCGGACTTTTCTCAGTTCGTAGTCCAGACCTTGCTTCTCTCTACTGACAACTATTTGTTGCAGTTGAGACGGAACACTGGAATATGGTTCACATCAGAACTGGGTAACACAAATTGGCTTGATTCATTTTTGGCCGCCAAACCAGCTGAGAGCTTGTACCATAAAATCCACAAATTGTCAGAATTGGAAAAATATTCTATTAGCGCTTCATTTGGAAAATACTTTGAACAATACTATTGTGCATGTATTTTCCCATAATGCCGAGGTGACACATGGGAYCCCATACGATATAAATAGCTAACATAAATTGTAAATTTTTACTCCACACCACATCTAGGGATAAAAACAAAATAGAGGCTTGCTTATGATTTTTAACCTTCCATCATTTGCAGATATTTTGAAAGCTACTGTATTAATTGTAATGCCTTTGTTAACTTAATTGAGATACATCACTGCCGTACTTATATATATTTATATCTAAACTTTATCGCTCTGCATCTTCTTCAAATGAATGCTGGCTTTTCAACACAGCTTTTCTGTTTAAACGGCAGAAAAGTGTTGGAAATCCAAAGTGACGAACATTAACAGTGCACTTCAACACTCTCTACATAAAGCGTTTATACACAGCCATACACATACATAGGCACATATGTAGCTAAGTGTAAACACATAAATTTGAAAAGGGCGATGAACAATATCGCCCTTGTCGGTTATGTGGGCATGCGACGCAAACATGAAAACTCTATTGCGGCGTTAGTGTGGGCGCATGCAGAGAGTAGCTGCCTTGCAGGACTTTTAACGCGTCAAACGAGTGTGCTAGGCACGAAAAATGAACGGTTCCTTTGCCGGTAGGAAAATTCGAAAAGTCGAAAGTTTACTGTAGAAGTTTTTCTAACAACAATTGGCCCTCAGCAGGCAATGTAAAATCCGCGCATGTGATGGTAATATGAGAAGCTGCACACGAAAACCAACAGCTGTTCGCGGTTATGGGAGATTTGTGAAATTCGCTTTTTGTCGGTTAATATCAAAAAGATGTGACATCATTTGTAAAAATATGCCATTTGTTTAAAAAATTTCATTCGTAAGTGAAAAGAAAAAAAAAAAAAAAACAATAAGCCACCAATTAGCCCACGACTAGTGCGTTGGAGGTGAGTTTGTAAAGCGTTCCTATTCCCTACAGGGTTGCAGCAATTGTGCTAAAAGTATTGTAAATGTGTGTTGAAGCTCTTTGTACTCGCTAGACAAGTGCTGGAATGGCATTCTGGGCGAACGAAGCGAAGTAAATGAGAATCCAACAGTCATAATGTACTAAGGACACTCGATGTTAAATACTCTACACTTTATCGTGATGCGCAAAAACATAAAGCCTGAAATTAAAAATGAAAATTCCATAAATAAAAACTAAGCGAATAATAATATGTTTTATGAGGCACTTTTCTGTATATGTGTGTGAAAGCGGGCTACCAACATTCAACTCGCAGTGAGACCTTTCTTTGACAACACATTTTTTTTACATTTAATTTGGATTAATTTTACAAAATGTTTCTTTTATTTATTTACGACACGTGTCGATGCTGGCGAATTCGGCAAAAAATAGTTTTGGATGAGAAACGGAAAAACGAGAGTTTTTTCAGTCGCAATGGCACCATCATACATATTTACAAAGCAGAACAAAATTGAATTTTGCTGCATATATCCATCAGCGGCCGTTATTTTTTCGTTCAATGCCACAGTTAAGACCAAAAATTACGTGTGAATTGGATACATTTTCAATTATAACGGACGTTTTTTTTTAGACGTGTGATTTTCAATAAGGCAATACTTGTTTCAAAAGTTTTTTGAGGGCTGTTGCTTGATTTATATCGCATTTATTTTGTTTGGTTTACCATTTCATAATGAACAGACTGACTCCGGCATAACGCCAGCAATTTGTGCAAATTTATTACCAAAATAATGCTTCGGTTTACTTCCAATATTTGGTCAACATAATTGACCAGCAGATCGGTATCACGGGCAATAATGAATCGGTTTCAAAACACTTTTACTCTAATGGATAATGTGTATTCTCAGAGAAGCCGTACAGAACTTATCGGTAAGAGATCGCTACTGTAGCTCAAAGTACCGAAGAAGACCTGAATGCGTGCATCCACCATCGCTAGCAACAATTGGAGCTGTGTCCATCCACTTTATGGAACTTAAGGAAGGATCTTGACTCGCGCGTTTACAAAATACGGTTCATGCAACAATTGAATCAAGCGCTTTACACGTTTGGTGAGAGGGTTCAAAACAAAATGACTACCGATCCCGCTTTCAACAATTGCCTTTTGAATTAAAATACAGTCGAAGCAAAAACTTTGTTTGAGGACGATTTTCCAAACACAGCCATAGATAAAGCAACCAACAAGGATTGGTAAGTTTAGATGTACGAAATAAGCATTGAAGATGCCTCGAACTAATTTCGGATTCTCGTAAGTTCTCAAGTTGTTCGAGATAGCTGAGATTCTGAAGATATCAATGGAATATGTTGGATATATTTTGAGAAAATATTTAGGGACGAGAAAGCTCTGTGTAAAGTGGGTGCCACGCGAACTCTTTTTGGACCAAAAACAACGACGAGCTGTTGATTCGRYGCAGTGTTTGGAKATGTTCAAACCTAATAAACCCMAAGTTTTGCATCGGTATGTGACAATGGATGAAATATGGTTCCATAATTGCATTCCGAAGTCCAATCGGCAGTCATCTGAGTAGACTGCATCCGATGAACCCGCTGGGATAGCAAAGTTATGGCGTCGGTATGTTAATAGAAAAGTTATTCCATTACTGACTACTTTGAACAGGAAACAGGATTAACAACAGCGTCTATTAAATAACATTTTGGACCACTTAAAGAACGAAATTGACGAAAACGGCCACATTTGAAGAAAAGGAGCCAAGACAATGCACCCTGCCACAAGTCAGTGAAAATGATGGCAAAATTCGTGTATAGGGCTTCGAAAWGAATCCGCATCTACCATATACTAMAGATCTGGCCTTCACTGCCTACTTTCTGTTCTCAGATCTCAAAAGAACGCTTGCTGGGAAGAARTTTTCGTCGAATGAAGAGRTCATCGAAASAGAAGCAAAGAACAAATCATGCCACAAAAATTGTATCGAAAAGTTGAAGGGTCGCAGTAATTAGTGTATCATCCTTGCAGGAAGCTATGTTGAACAAAAAATAAACCGAAATTTTGCGAAAAATATGTGTTTTACTATGCTAGGACAAGGAATATTCAATTGATCTGTTAACAAGGAAATATGGTTCAGTGACGAAGTCCATTTTTGGTTGAATGGCATTTGGAGCGATGACAAGTTCTTAATAAGACATCCGTTACATCTTTGAAAAGTCGCTGTATTGAATTTTCTTGGTGCGGTCTATGGATAGAGGGAATCATTGGTCCATATTTCTTCAAAGATATTCTAAAAAGTCAATTAGGAATGCTATAGAGTATTTATAGCTGTTTAGTGTCTAAATTGGACCATGTCGATGTGGACGACCTTTGGTTTCAACAAGACAGCGCTACATGTGGGGAAAAACACTTTTTTATGGACACTTTTGGTGAGCGCATTACCTTGCGTCGTGAGCCTTTGGAATGACCTCTAAGGTTTATCGATTTGCAGTTAATTGGTAAGATACCTCCAATGGATATATGTTAAAGTAATGGTTGCAGGTACCTGTTGAAGTTAGGATAGGATTTGTATTAACTTTGTAATAAGTGACTACAGCTAAGATGATATGTTTGCCAACCCAACCGCACGCAGGTTATTTCTCAATAGTTACCTTTACTGCAAGCTTCAGAAAAAGTCAATTCCTTGCATAGAAAACTGCCTTGACATTCTTTAGTCACTTATAGTGCTTCCTTTCCAAACATCAGTAGAGCCCTGTGGTGTTATATAGAGTATAAAAGGAGCCAAATCAAGCGAATAAGAGGGACAATCAGCTCATTTCTTTTCATTTGGGTGACAAATATATCTAATTCGATTTTTGAAAGTTTGTTTTTCTTGCAGAAAATTCGCGATTTTTGATAAAAATATAGTGTCGGTGGCTTTTATAAATACTCCATAAAACAAATCGTATTTAGTTACACTGAAAGCGAGGCTGTGTTATCTCCTTTACACATATTGTCTCGGCCTKTTATTAAATCAGGTATAAGAAGGAGAGGCATGATGCCCTGGAAGATAATTATTGTATTATWTACTTACCCAGTTCTGGCGAAATTTGTCCAAAATATTATCACCGCCTCGGACAGCGCTATCTCCGACTTCGTATAGTTCTGTGGGAAATGGCTAAAGCCATCCACGAGCGGCGCACCAAATATATAGGGCAAATCCTCGCCATGCACCGTGCCCATGCGTTGCGGATAATCACCGTCCTTCGTCTGGTAGTCGAAAACGTAGAAGTAACAACGTCCCGATTGTGCACCGGCAGCGGTCGACGCTGAAGACGTGCCGCCACCTGTGCTGCTGCTGGTCGATATGGGCGGCGGCGAATTGGCGGCCAATTGGTCACCGGTGCGTATGATGGGCGCTACGAATTGCGCATCCGACAACGCTGCCACAGCGGTGTCGCGTGTATTAATCGGATGCTGCGACGTACGATCCCAGTCGGTATACTCGTTAACGATCTGCGAAGTAGACCAAATACAGAAATATAGGCGAGGGTGTATTAAACGTAAAGGTACTGGGTTAAAAATATTTTTTTCTTTTCATATGAYTTGCGAAATTTCGCCACTTTGTTGTTACACGGTATTTAAATATGACAACCAGTGGAATTAATTTGTAACAGAACATAAAAGAAATATTTCAATTTAAAGTTTCCAAAAAGAAAATGCTTTGCTACGCGCATTTACGCACTAATTAGCGCACAAATATGCACYTTTTTTTCAGATGCGCAAATGTTGGTGGATATGTGAAGAGGGGCGCAGGTATACACAGCATCGAGTATATAGTCACATATATGCTCATATGTAAGCAGCTGCACTTGCAGGCTACAATGGCTGGCGAAAACCAACATGCCGCATGCCATGCTTTGATGTGTGAGTACGTGCGTGAGCATCGTTATGTGCGTGCTCTTCTTATGCCAAKCTTAACATGCACAAATACAGTTGCAAATGTGTCCGTCTGTCTGTCACAAAGCCTGCGCCGTATTTAGGTTAAGTGTTACTCTCGACTGAATGACTGTCAGTAGTTGCTGCGTTCAAACGCATAAAGCATATATATATATACACGAGGTATATAATATATATGTGTATATGTCTGTTTCGGTATATAGCATATGCGTGTGTGCGTCAGTAYATTGCAGTCAGTATACTGCAAGGACATCGCTTCTATATTTTCGCTGAGGCTTGCGCGACCAATATTTATAGAAGCACACGCACACACAAGCATACATACTACATASACATATAGATGCGTTGGACGCGTAAGCGTGAGCACGCACGTGGGTTGCAGTTTTAATACGAAAAGTGCGTTTTAATATAATGTTTCAACTGTCGCACTAATTCAACGGCATACGCTAATGTGTTGTTGTTGTTTTTGCTGCATAAAAATATCTGTCTCTCATGTTTATGGGCGTTGTTCGTGGGAGCGTGGACATGGATAATCATAAATAGAAGTGTAGCCTTCAAGCAAGCAATTTACTGCAATTGGTCGCACACATACACACTCCCGTGCAAACATTTATGCCGCACTATATATAGTATTTGGCGTGTGTGTGTGTTACCTGCATATTGCCCAGGCATTATGCCGAACTCATGTTGTTGTTGCAGCATAAACTGAGCGCGTTTTAATTTATTGTCACGCACGTAACGCAACGCAACGCACGCGCATGCATAATAGACTCTTGCATTTATTATCAACGACTTCTTGTTTGTGCTTAGAAGAAGCTGCGCCTATTCTAGATACACCACCATCGACAGCTCGGTTAGGTTCGGTTAGACTACGTAAGATGAGTAATTTCTCAGCATCCCTCGCCATCTCACTTAGACTATGTACGGTTCTTTTTGAAGTAAATCCTGTAGTTGTATCCCAGCTTTTAACAAAAATGCCTTGAACCTAAGACAASTCTGCGACTTTACGGCTGCACAGCTGCTTGTGGTTAACCAACGCTTGCTGATTTGCGATGAGGCCTAACAGTCCAGTCAGTCAGTGCAGTAGTGTACCACAAGAAGACAAATAAGCTCCTAACCGTACGCATTACGCCGTTATTAAGACTGAATTACCTTTTCTTGGTGGCACAATAGACTTAAAGTGTTTGCAATACCGCTATGGTTAAGCACCCAAAAACAAGTTTAATCATAAAAGTTCTCGATGCTTGAGATAATGAGTCGTGACAAACTTTCATTCATCTTGAGCGCACRGTCAGCGAATTGAAGGCCAAAGCCGCTGATTTACTATCAAAGTGGATAGTAACCATTYTACCCACTTTTATTTATCTGTGAAAAAACGCATCGTCTTTCTCCGCCATCGAGTTCTTCTCACCAATGCCGTCCTCAAAGGTATGCGGCTAGAGAAGCGACAGCTAGGGCCAGGCAAGGGAACCTGGTAAACTTAGAATCATATATGGTTACTCTTAGAAGTAACTGCATATACTTTTTTATTTAATTTAATTCCGTTGCCTGTGACAGCTTAAATTCGACAATGAGGATGAGGGGAGGATTGAGTCATGTGTAAAAGTTTCCGCAAGTGAGGAAAGTTCTTCGAGCGCCATTCACTTAAGTGCAGACAGGAGTGATTGTTTTATATATAACTTAAGCAGCTCGCGACTTCCGCTGTTAGACCAATCATACACTGAGAAGCCAAAGAACATTGGTTTGAAGGCGAGCTAAAGGGTTGTGCTCTGGGTTTGGGACCCGCTAYGTAAAAAAACGCACTCCATGAAAAGGAAGCAACAGCYTCGGAGACCACGCTTTTGATGACGACTACGGCTAATGCATTAAATATCAGCTGTTTGATGTCCTGGTAAAAGTAAAGGCTGTGACAAGGACTGAAACGAGTTAGTACTTGTGGAATTAACTACAGTGACTCTATAAAGGAGCACAAGTTCGATATGGATTCGGAAGTGAGACTCCGGCGCCGAGTACTGTAATTCACTCCGGTGGATGAACGATAAGGACGATGTGACCAAAAATCCCTTTCATGAGCACTCGGAGCGCAACTCTTAGAACTGCCTCGCCACGTTGGGCAAAGAAGGCATCTTTGACACACCGGTCGGGAAAKTCAGYCTCCATGATGAAACATCTCCAAATGGGTCGAGTCTGACCGACTTCGTCGTGGGCCGAAATATGGTTATTTGTAGTATTGATTCCAGCATAGGAAAAYTCATCAAGCTATCTGGCTGTCTGCGGAACGAAAAGCCACCAAAGTTCGGCGTCATATAGATTCGGACTGACTATCTTGTCTGTGCTCAGCCCKACACTGCAGTTAAACAAAGTATCTTCTTTGAATCTCTACAAAGTTAGTTTGAAAAGTCTTCCATGTTGGCTTCTGAAACTGCCTTTTGGAAATTCAAAAGGTTTACGTACAAAAMCAAAAGCAACGTAAATTTAGTCGATAAAGAAAACATTTTTATTATGGAAACAATAAAGAAATTTGTATCCTTAAAAGATATTCGGATGCTTTAAATGTTTTTGTTATTCATTTCCCTCGCATAACAATTTATCAATACTTTTCCGTTTTCTTTGTTTATCTGCTAGAAAACTGTCAATCACGTCCAATCACCGGCACTATTAATCACCTATTTTGTGTACATTTTCCATTAAAACCTGTTCGAAACGTTGTTGTACAGCTGTACTACCGACAACAAACAAARTCTATGTTGTACAAAATGCTCAATATTTGAGCATACATTACTCATTCAAGCGTTTTCGCTGTAGACAACATGGCAAGCCATACGCAGGGGCACTCGTGCCTCGCTCCACGACCGGAACAGGTTTGCGAAATCATTGAAGCAGCGAAACAACAATTAATTTATGCCACCTTCTATTAGCCCTGGCCACCTGACAAACGCTTCACGCTCCAAATACGTTTATCGTGTGCACACTTGCAACAATAGCAACATGGACAATGRATAAACAACAAAATGTGCGGACGTTGTCAAAACATTGTGCTCAATCATGGAGCGCGCCGACCGAGGGGTTGTGTCTGCGGACGTACAGCAGAAACCAAATAAGCTGTGAAAATTCAGCAAATTAGCAGTTTTTCAGAAACACAAATAGACACAATCACGCACACATGCCCATGCACTTACACGTACTCTCGGCGGTGACTGCTTATAACGTGCTGTCTGACCATTAATTTATGAAAAACAACAAGCAAAACAGAAAAACCATATTCAAAATTTATTATCGGCTTAGGGCATTGGGGAGGGTGATTTCGCATTATGTGTCCCGGCGAAACTGATAGCGTGCTCATTTAGCTGGCATTTGATGGTTAATACGTGGATGTGCACAACTAGCCGCTGCTGATCGGCAAATGCACGCGATTATGTATGCCGTTATGGATGGGATAGCTACCCAGCAGGAAAGCRTGCGTAATTAAGACTCTTTTACTTTGACTACTTTAGAGGCGAGGCTGCTTTATTTACACGTCGATTTATCTGTCCGCGAAGCAAACAAATGCCTCTTACAGCTTACTCTGAACAAAAGTATTTCACAATCCAGCACCTGCTAGGGTCACTGGAGATCCAAATGTACAACGTGAGAACGCAAGAAGGCAGCCGACATGAGTACAATCATATAATTCCGCGAAGGTTGCCCTCACCTGCGCATCAGCTTTGCAGTTTCCGGTGTTTCTGCTGTGATTGGGCACCCATATGAGTGAAATATGGATGAAGCTTGGTGCTAATGCTAACAAGGACATGTACTTCTTAATTATTTTTGAGCGCACAGTYAGCGAGCTTAAAGCCAGTATAGCCGCTTGGCTACTAAAGCCACGGTTCTAATTTCGGTGGCAGGCAAYCTCTATAAGGTGGCTGATACCTTCCGCACTTTCTCCTCTAYGTTTGGCTTATTTAGAAGCTTCCATAGAAGCTTTTTMATAAGGCGTATAACGCCCAAAATAGCTCACCCTTGACTGAAGAAGAGAGCCTCCTTCCTTTAACACAGCTCAATAGGCTGAGGGCCGGTTAATAAAAGAGACTACCTACCCCTGGCTATATCTGAAGAAGTAAAAGAATTTGGTTGGCGCAAAAGCGTTCGACCCGCCTGCGGAACTTGCAGCATCTACATAGATGGATCAAAAATGGCTCATAGGGAATACGGCGATATCTATTGCGCTGAGCTAGACCTCAGGCGACCYTTCGAAAAAGTTYAAATGRAAATTWAGGCCATAATATCACAGCGCATTACTTTAAGAAATGTCCTTGGAAGCAGGGGCAGTAGGTGCTGAAACTGCCAAAAAGTGTCTTCGTATATACATATATAAGATTCTAGGTCACAACAGCA